TGACAGGGCAATCCAACTCCTTTTTCCTACAGACTTCAAACAGCCATGGCGTCTGTTGACTTAAACTTAACTCTATCCATTAAGACTGCTGTATTTGTGTTTGCTTCATTAGGTCAGCAGCAAAAATAAGTCACCAAAAATTCTTTGCTCTTTGTTTTTCAATTATAGCCTATTTCATGTTGTGGAAGCATTGATGACTGGACTAGATTGTAGGACCATTGAAGTGCTACAAGACCTCATTTCAGTACGTGCAGTTACTACAAATGTAGAGAGAACCATAAGCACAAATCACACTAACTTCTAGAGCAGACAGATGCACTGACTAGATACAGCCCCCATCAACCAGCACAAGTCATTCTAGCCTTATATAATGGTGGATAGGTTCATCTTTATCTTCACTGCCTTAAGGGTCCAGCAACACAAACTGAACTTGGGGCAGAAACTGGTTTTTCCAGAGATACCTCTACTTTTCCAGTCCGTGCCTAATAAGATACCATTCCCACATGAACAAGTTGGCATTGCTGATTAATACCAGCTGGTCTGGTAGATGCTCAGACATAAATGTCATAATTGAGAGGCTGTTGTGCTCTCTGTGCTTTCTAGTCCCTTTTAAAAACATACTTTTATAGGTAAAGCAGTAGCTATACATACCAAAGGGAAATTTGGAAAGTAAGATTTGCCTCTTATTTATCTTTCAATGTTTCATTGCATATTCACAACAGTTGTCTTTCTTCTCAACATTATACTATTGCTAAAAAAGAAACTGAAGAGATAAAGCCAGGGTTTCAGGGTTTCTTTTTCTACCTCTTCACGCATCAATCCCAAAAGATGTTTCTGAAAGGGAGGGACCCCACCAAGGGAATCAAGAGCTTTAGCAAATCATTCGTGTAACTAGGAATATCATAGAGGTGAATTAGATACTGGAACTCCTGAGTCACTCACTTACATTACCCAACTGGAAATCAGAGTGAGGAAACTATAGAAGACAATAGCTGCCTTTCACAAAGGACCGCACTGCAACCTTACCATTACGTGCCCTTTAACTGGAAACACTGAGCAAACAAATAACAAAGGGAACTTTGCTTCCTAACACCACCAACAGATACAGTTTAAAGATCTACCCAGCAGTGAGGTTACCTTTAGAAAATACAGTACAAGATTTTCAGTTTGGTTCATATTCAATTAAATCAACAAGTTACATAGGAAGGAAAAAACAAACAAATAGACAAACTTACATTATCAGCTTGAACCTCCCACCAAGGCTGTTTCTAAGTTTTACCATCAGATTCCCCATCCCCCCAGTATGGCAAGATAAGGAAATCCTGAATTCATTGCAGCTGGGCTGATGAGCCTTGTAATTAGGACATGCAGTGTGGTCTTTCAGGCGCCTTCAGAACACTAACCCTTTCAGTGCCAAATCCTTTTCGCCTGTTCAAGCTCAAAATAAGACTCTATTTGAGAGGTACTATTGTCTACCATTTAAAAAAATAGGTTGGCTTTGGTAGTGCTGCATTGTGAACACAGAGCAAGTCATTGCTTTTGGTGGAATTCATGAAAGGAGTAATCTCCTTGCCACCTCCCAGATGAGTACTAATACACTTGAGACCGGAGTGAGTCAGAATGCATTTGTTTCTTCATCCCTGTTTTCTGTCTGAGGCCATCAACACTCTCTCTGGCACTCTAATCACCCCCCTGGACATCCCCTTTTGGTGTGAAGCTAATTCAAATTTTTTATTCAAAACCCTTCTTTAAAATCCTCTTTGTAGCAGTGCAAATACTTAGTAAGAGCTGAATTGCCTGTTCTGCTCAATTGAGTGCCCCAGAAAGAGAAAAAAACAAACAAACCAAAACTGTTTTATGTATCACAGCAATATTCATTCACCCCTTGTCTTTTACAATGACAAAATGGAGTCAATCACCATTTCATCACATTTGTTACAAGCCCTAAGCTTTCACTATTTGATTCCAAGGGCCGGGATGAACTTTCCCATTATCACCCTTATTATATAACTTGGCTTTTGGGAATGGTTTATTTCCTCATCTCTTTCTGAAGAACTAGAGATTTCCAGAGCTAGAAACAGGATGTAGCACCATTTGTGCTGGTGCTCTTTATAGCAACTTTTAAGTGCCAGATTGATGTGTTTTTCACATTGACTTGGAGTCAAACAGATTTAAGGCCATTTTCCAGGTCAGATTGGCAGGAACTGCTGAATCGGTTCGCCTGACTATACCCAGAGGGATGGGCTGCATCTCGGGATCATCTAGGCATTTTCCAAAGGAATGCATTGTTCTTTGATGTACCAGTGTCATCAGCAATGTCCATCTTCTCCTTTACTGTCATGTTCTGGGATGTTATATTTGTTTCTTCCTTTTTTAACACCGGGCCTCAGATGTTTGTAGGGAAGTGTTTCACGGTGCAGTGTGTGGACTGAATGTTTTGCCGTGTCCAGCTGTGGCATGCATTGCACAAGTGCCCTGCCAGCTGAACCAGGTGGCCACTTTTAGAGCAGTGTGCCCCTCTTTGGCCACAGAACCCTTGGTGGCTGCTAAGGGTAGGATTTAATGTCAGTGCAGCCCATGGTCTGATGGGATCCTCGCCTCTGGCACAGCTTCTGGCTGCCACGGTTGAAACAAAAGTTTGTGAAGGTTTGCTGCCAAGGTGCCAAACTGCACCTTGTTTTTCAGTATTGAGCTGAAATCTGCCAGGAAGGGTTGGTGGAGGAGTGAATTGCATAATACCCAGCTGTGGTTTCAAATTGCTCCCTTTTAATGAGGGCAATAGCTCAGTGTAAAGGATGTGTAGGGGAAAAAACGGTCATCACTGCATGCCGTATGCCCAATTCAAAGCCCACTGTAGGCAGCTGATAGGTATGTTTTGGTTTGTTACTGAGTTGGCCCTGGGGGAAAAAATAGCAACCTCCTAATGGGCAGGAGTTATTCTGCATCCCCAGAAGATATTCCACATTTTGGCAATAGGTAAAGAATTTGCCACTTCATATGTTCTGTGTCCATGCTTTCACCCTTCTATAAAATCAGATAATAAGGAATTTGCAAATTTACTTTTTGGGTGTAATGCAGGTGAAGTACTTTAAGAATCTCTTGCAAGACGATCTCTTAAAAAGAAGGATTGTATATTTTTCCAAGAGTATATAAGAGAAAGTGGCTCCTAGGGAGACAAGAACTTCTTGAAGACCCTTAATTAACACTATTTTGGCATTCACAGCACTTCCCCTTCCTTTTCAAAATTTGATGCCAAGAATTTCTCATTCCAATAGCATCCAATAAATCCTAGAACTAAATTCCAGTGACCATTGGAGGTCTCTCTGGTTGCTTGATGGCTAAAGCAGCTAAACTCTTTTATTCGTTTTTGAAATACCTTTTCCTTTTAAAATCTGTGGCTTTAACCCCTGAAACAAAGTGGCTGATTCTCCTCTCGGCCCCACCAGCTTGCACAGCACAGAGCTATGCTACACAGGATGTTTTAGCCCTAGGGCATATGTGAAGTCCCAGGTGAGATCAGAATTCCACTCTGGGACCTCTTGAATTAATCCTGCTGCTGTGCACCAGCTTCAGCTTTGCAAGAGGAGTCAGTAGAGATCAGCATGTTGTGTTTGACTACAGTGCAAGTGGGTGAAGCAGATTACTAGGCTGAATTCTTCTGTACGTTGTACACCATCTGTGGAGAGATGGAATTCAGGGATAGTTGGGGCTCACCCAGGTATTTCTGCCTAGAGCTTTAATATTATTTTTTGGTATGCAGCTGTCTCCCAGAAAACACTCACTGTGCGGGCACCCTGAATGTTTGAGATCTCTGAAACTAATTTAATTTCAATTTCAGATTAATTTCACAAACTCTAAATCAATTTCAGTGGATTTCACAAACTCTAAATCAATTTCAGTGCATTTCAGTCTTCAAAATATATATTACATGTATAAACATATGAAAACACATATAAAGACCCCATTGAAATATTTGAATTCAGTAGAATTAAAGCATGGCATCACAGACCAGACCTCTTTTTACCTCACTTTCCTATAAGCCAGCAGTAATTCTCTGATGGCAGGAGAATTACATGAACATAGTATTGCAGACCTAAGGTGGAAACACCTTGTGAAATGTGTCCATCAGGTGAGAATGGAAAGGACACTCAATGGTTGGTCCTGTTTCTACAGTGATTCATTATTATGTTAATTTTTTAAAAAGAGTTTTAATTTTCTTTTTGAACTCCACTAAGGTTTCTTTTGGACCTTAAGCGGTTAGAGTGAATTAATCCTTGTTATCTCCATTAGGGAGAATACCTATTTAGGTGTTGATGGGTTTCCTGCTGTTCCAAGACTACTGAATAGCAAATTAGGAGCTACTGATTTTGATTTGCAGATTGAGAGAGTGAAGATCCTATTGAGGTGAAGTACAAAACCTAGGTATTTACTGTTTATCAGGAAATGTTTAAATCACAGCAGGTTCCCCCTTAGAAAATCCAAACCAGATGTAGCTCTCAATGCTTCTTGTTATTATTTGAACATGGGACTCTCTGTTGACTGTCTGATTAACCAGATTGGAAATTGGAAGATACTTTGCATTTTTCTTGGTGTTCTTTCCTTTCCCTGACTTGTGTAAGTAGTTTTGGACACAAAAGGGTTCTGTTTTGTGAGTTGTTCTTGCAGCTTTTTGCCTGCATAATCTAACTGTACTATGAATGCATTATGGCCAAACACAAGAAAGCAATCATTGCTTAGTGGAAAGGTTGCACTAAGAGAATCATAGCAAGCTCAAAGGTTTCCTCAACAGTGGGGTGACCAGCTGCATTGCACTGCCATTGTGAAGCCTCTTTATTAATAGCCTGTATATTGCTTCCCTCAAATGTGTAGCCATGTTCCTAAGAAAAAAAATAATCACTTTGTTTTTTCTGCTATTTTTATCTATCCCCTATTCAAATCTCTCTCAGAACAATCCTTAATACGTACTGTGTTGCATGTGACTTATTTGTTTTCTTTTGCAGGCCCTGAGCAGCAGTCTCTACAAGAGTGCATCACCTTATGGCTCTCTTAATAACATTGTGGATGGGTTAAGCTCCCTCACCGAGCATTTCTCTGACCTATCCCTTTCTTCAGAAGCCAGAAAACCCAGCAAGAGGCCACCTCCTAACTACCTGTGCCACCTCTGCTTTAACAAGGGACACTACATCAAAGACTGCCCCCAGGTAAGTAATATATAATATCCTGAAAAAATATGCATCAAGATTTTCTTCAGTCCTTGGTTTAGATACACAGAATTTGACTGAAATACTTTAGAGTGAGTAACACTGAAGAAGTATCTTGACAAAGTGCCATGCTAGCCGTGTGTTCTTTTAATCTATTCTTTATCATAGTGCTGATGGACAAAGTACACTGTTTCATTTGCCTTGTACGTATTACAGCAGACATTAATTTAGGCACACAGCTAAGTACATTCTGGTGACTTTAAAAATGGCTACTCTGTAATTTTCTATGGGGCAGCACTGTGTGTAGTCAGTTTGGCAAGGGCACTTAATATAACAAGTTACATATGCTGAAGGAGAGGAAATTGTTACATTCAGAGAGAACTTTGGATCAGTGTTGCCGTAACAAAGGCTCAAGGTATTTTGGGTGCAAAGTCTTTTTTTGTCCTACAGAAGAGGTTTGCTGTACTTCGCAAAATGTGATGGTCTTTGACTCCTAGGACTTTTCTGTAGTGGCAAAGCTGGCAATATTTATTTCCTTCAAAAAGGGATATAAACCAGTGTGCACTAAAAGCACTTACTAATCTATAATTTTTTTCCCCTGAAGCTCCCAAGCAGAGTGAACCAGGTTTCTTAATTTTCTGGTTTCAGCTGGATGCAGTTGTGTTGCTGGCTTAAACTTGCACAATTTCAACAACATCCTATGTAAAGTCCCAAGGAAATTAAAATGCTGCCAATACTCTAAAAACACAGATGTGGACATCACCATCATCCACTTCATTATGACTTTAACCTCCTAGCCTCTTATTGTGTGACTTTCAGCAGAATTAATCTGCATAAAAATTAACTACAGTTAATTTGCTGTTGAGGATGTCAGACATTTATAAACCAAAACACAGGCAGAAAAACATCTGCCAGCAGAGGAAGGAGAGCATGAAATGAAGTCTAAATCAGATGAGCTTTGAGTGTATTCCTCTTGCTGCTATGCATAGACTAACTTTATCACTTTCACTGTATGTCTTTCATTAATTCTAATGAAAGTTATGGAATTAAAGTATGTTTGCAGTCTTGGGTGTGGCACTTGAAAATATTTTTACTACTTATTTTGATCTAGGTTGAGTAATAATTTTCTTTAGGAAAAAACTATGAAATTTTCTTTGCTAGGAGATCAAAAGTACTCTGGTTTCTTTACTTAAGTGTTTAATCTACTTAATTTAGCATGTTGCAGAAGAATGTAAGGATAGAACCACGTAATAAAACACATTACTTAACAAGAGGATTGAAACTCCAACTACTAAATATGTGGCGGAGTGGGGGTCGATAGCTGTGCTTTGCCATGCTGTGTGAGAAACCAAATGAATGCAAAAGGTCTCTTGACAATCAGCATGTGCAAGCTGCAGCTCATACAGACCAAGTGAATGTGTCAGTGTTGGAGAAGTAATGCATTATTTATTTCTTAGCTATTTTTATGATTTGAGGCACTAGGGATTAAACATGTTAGTGAAAACTGAAGACACAAGAAATCCAGGAGATATGAACAATTAAGGATTGTGTAGGAACACTAATTCTCTTAAATTGCACATCCTGTATAATTTTTTTTTCAGACCTAATTTGTAAAGTCTTCAATTTCTCTCTGAACCAGGAAGTGGAAAGACTTCCTACTGGCATACTCTGTGACTATCGTGTGAGTTTGGGAGGAATGAATAAAGGAACACAGGAGAGGGAAACATCTGCTCGCTCACCACATGCAGTCTATGGTTACAGGCAGCCATATCACATAGCCCCTTTTGAAAACTGATCAGGTTTTACTTGGGAAGCATTTCAGTATTTTGCCTTTGCTACTGCTGGTGTGGAAAGCTGCTCCAGAACCTCAGCCCTCTCCTAACTAGAAATCTTCCAATTGCTAGGATGAGAGTAACTCATGGCCACTTTATAGTCATTTGTTCTCCTGCCAACATTGTCCTCCACTGAAATAGCTCTTATCCCTCCCTGGTGTTTATCTCAGGATGTATTAATAGACTGCAATCATATCCTCTCTCAGCATTCAATCACATCCTGTCTCAGCATTCATTCTGTAGGACTAACCAGGCCAGGTTTTCTGAGTTTCTTCACACAAAGTATACAGAGCCTCTATTCCCCTGGCCTTCTCAGTGCTTTTCATTCCTTGCTCATGCATGACTACATGTGGCATCCCAGAGCAGAGCTTGTCAGTGCCTTCTGCTCTGTGTGCATGTTTCTGTTTATGTTAGTTAAGGGACAGGTGATAGGAAATTGATTCTGTTTAACTGGAGATTTCTTCTAGCACAGGCAAGTGCTTTCTAGTTTAATCAGCAAGTGCTTTCTTGAGAAAAAGCGGAGTTAGGCATTCACAGAAACATACACACTTTCCTTATGTTACCTGAGTTTGAGGACAGTTCTAAAGAGGGATGACCCTGTGTACAACATTGTGCACAAGAAGGGAGCAGCACTGGCAGGATCAGGCTTTTGTCATAAAGTCTCCATTTGTTACCACTGCTTTTGACAAGAACTGATTTCTTAGTTTGAACATTGTATGCACTGCTTACTATCTTAGGTTTTGATGTTTAGTTTTGCTAGTGCTGTCACAAATAAAAGTTGTTTAGCAAATCCTACCAAAAAAAAGGGCTGTAGCTGTGTGTTTTTAAAGTACTAAAACCTGGACAGAGAAAAGAGATAAACTAATCTGATCTGGGCAAAATGCGTATCAGTAAATCATACAGTATTTTTCTTTTGTTTTTATGAAACTGCCTAATAAGAAACACATTTTGAAATGGAGTGTTCTATGAAGTTTTTTCTGTATAGCAAAGAAATTGTGTAACAACTTTAGGACTTAATATCCTCCCTTAATTCTGCCTGTTACTACCACTGAAAATATATGTCCTTTTTCTGTTGCTGTAAAAGTTGATGAAAATGCATGTATCAGCTCAGATTTATATCTTAAGTGATGATCATATTCCTTAAGGTTAAATAGTTATAAACAAAAACTGCTATCTTTAATTTTTAAGTACCTCTTGTATCTGCAATTTGTCTAATATTGTGTCCTCAACTATCTGAAAATTGAAATGGGATTTAGCAGACTTCTATTATTTTACCATGTAGTTTGTGTCATACATGGTGATAGAAAGTGTTCTTTTCTGTTTAGGAAACTACGAGAAATAAGAGCAGTGTTATGATTGCGATTCATCATTTCCAATTTGTCTACATTTGCAAAAAGCTGTTTGTTCAATAATTATGTCTATAAAAACCCAGCACTAATCTTTAGTATCATCTTTATAGCATATCTACATTTTTTTCCAAAACTAATCTGTGAGTTTCAGTGGCTTAGACAATAAAATTCTGCTCATACCTCTCTGATGTTCTTGCACATAAAGAATTCTCATTGACTTGAATGAAGTGAAAAATGCGTAGAGAATAAAGGTTAAAAGCAGTGTTCTTAATATAGCACTGCTCTTAAATTATCATTGACAGTGCCATAAAAAATAAACAAGATGTTTCTCTTTAAATAGGAAGGAAGGTAAGGAATGAGAGTGCTTTTCCTATCTGGTTTACAAGTGGTTGATTGCATGATATATGAATATATATATATATATATATATGTATGTATATAGATCTGTCAAAACTTGTATACTTATTTGTGTACCCAAAGGTACTGTACCTTTGCCTGGTATTCCCCCTACCAGGAAAAAACCCCAATGAGTTCTGGACCGGTAATGCTAAAGATATATGATTCTATATGGCATTTTTTGATATAGCAGGTGTAGAAGTTATTAGAAGATCTTTTAAAAAAAGTTACATTGTGTCTTTTCACCCATTTTCACTATATTCTTAAATCCTATAAAATATAAACAGTGAGTTCCTTTGTACCAAGTGTGGCCTATACAAAATGAATCTTGCTCCTTTGAATTGTTAGGAATGTTATTGACATGATTTCTCTTCCATGATGTCATCAACCTAAACTCAGACATATCATAGAAGTTTAATTTGTAAAAAGTATAGAATAACGGGGTATGGTGTCTATGTCTAAATACAGTCTAAGTAGACACTTGTAAATAAAGCACCTAGTTCACATTCTAAGATGTTGCTGAGTGAAAAAACCTTTGCCATTTTTTCAGAAATCTACTTAGGAAAGTAAATACACAAATCCTGGACCTCATTTTTTGCTTATGTCATTCCAGTTGTTAATTTACTAAGCAGCAACAGAAGCCCAGGCTTGGAGCTCCAGCAAAGCATCTCTGTATTCAGAATTTTCAAACTGCTCTACCTGGTGTTTCTGCCAAGCACCAGTTCCATCTACTGGTGTCTTTGCCCTAACTGTAATCAAATACTGTGCCAGTGCCAAGCTCATTGAAAAAACCTTTCTGACAATTCCTGTGAATTTCTGCGCAGGCAAGGAACCCTTAGTTCATGCTGATATGGTGGGGAAAGAAAATGGGCACATATCACTGTTCTGCAGTCAAATTCCCATGCACTGCCCCCGGTTTCTGGGAGACAGGGGAATGTTGCACAGTGTGTTTCCCAGTTTTCCGTTGTACTTACAGAGGAAAATGCCACGTACCTGCTCACAGGAGTACAGACACTGCTGCAGACATGTATGTAATGGGAAGCTGTTAGTCTCTGCACTGCCTGTTTAAACCTGTGGCTGAAATGCATGGCATGGTCCATATTAATGTGGCCAACAGCAGGAGTCTTTCCACTGCCAACAGGGATCTTTGAAGCAGATCCTGTAAAACTGAAGTGCCTTGAGAGCACAAATTCGAGTCAATAGGAGCAGTAGGTAATTGCTGTGGCTGCTTGAGTTTGCATAGATTTGCTTTTGTGGTTTCATGCAGGATGTGGAAGAAATAAGTGTCAGGCTGCCTTTAGTCCTTTCTTCTTGGTCCATAGCTTGGTCTGCCAGATCACGCTGCCCTGAAGCTGTCCCTGCCTGTGGTCAGATCCAGTGGATCTTGGGCACTGGGGCTGCCTCAGCAGACAGCTATTTGGCT